CAAAGTGCAAAAAAAAGTCTCCTTCAATGCTTTTTATTTTAATTTGCAACATAAAGGAATACAAATGTAATTAGAAAAATAATTAAAATGTAACAAAAAGGAAATAAATAAAGAGAAACATATTTAAAGAAAGTAGCAATTAATAAATAAATATAACACTTTCAATAAATTAATTAATAAACAAAGATATGCATTAAATAAATAAATCCATAAATTTAGAGAGAGAGAGAGAGAGAGAGAGAACCGGCAACCCAATCTATAACAGAACTTCTATATTTACATATTATAAGTTCTAATGTGTAAAAATTACAATCAACTCATGAGAAATATTTGACTGATACATGGGGATTCATATTTGGTGAGATAATTGTGTGAATGCAAGTCCAGTCAACTAGAATTATGTTCGCTTGAACAATCGGACATTCATAACAAGAGATTTGCACAACTCAGGTAATTATGTTTGCTGTCAGTTCTCCACTCTACCTCACTAGCCCACTCGAAAAGATCTGTTAGAGACACTTCATCTAATTTCCTGTCAAAGCTGCACAAAAGAAGTGGAATAACGCGGTATCGCAGCAGAGAGTTGGTGCGGATCCAGCGTATGAGGGCTTCGCATTAGCACGCACCAATTAATAGCTGTGAGCGAGACGGCTTCCCTTTTCTATCAGCCACCTGTCTGTCAAAAAGGAAATAATCATTAGATTCTAATAAATCTGTCCGCCATGTCAATGTAGCTGCAATGCAAAAATGTGCAAGTCTTAGCCCCGGGGTGCCCAGAGACCTGTTTTTCGTTATTCGCTGTACAGTTGAATGCACACACTATTGGTGGAATAACTTCAGGTGTGTATTGTAGGTGGGGTTGAGAGGGGAATTATGGTACATATCAAGCGGGATATTTCAGCAGTTCTCCACAATGCTGCCAATCAGGACAGCACTGCAGGGCATTCTCAGCAGTATGACTGGCAGCTGTTTCCTGCCGGAGAGGTCACATGAGCACGGCTCACGGAACGGCGGTGCATGGTTTGCGTGTCTGGGACTCTGGGAGTTGTGTGAGAATGGCAGGTGAGAATTTGAGGGTGTGTTCAGAAGAACTGGCAGCCCAACTTATATGGTTTCCAAGACATGTTTGTAATGCAAGCAATATTTGCTTTTTGGGTTTATTGAGGACATATACACATAGTAAAGGCTGGCTATTTGTTTTGCCTTCAATAAACCCAAATTTGTGTGTATGTACATTAGTGTACAAAATTGAGATTTTTGCTAATTTTGAAAGTTAAATTGGGAATGCCTTTTAAATTTCAATTGATGTAGCAAACAGGATGTAGAATTTGAATTTAAATGTAAGGAAGCGGAATTAAATTTAGAAATGTATATTATAAGAAATGTATACAGTATATCTTTTTTTAACAAATAACAAACACAAATTGGATTGATAAAGCCTTGTTTGAAGCTTGACGTGAAGATTGTTAGACAGAACATTAGACAAAATGACCGAGAGACAGACCGATGTACAGGTGCATCTCAATAAATTAGAATGTCGTGGAAAAGTTCATTTATTTCAGTAATTCTACTCAAATTGTGAAACTTGTGTATTAAATAAATTCAATGCACACAGACTGAAGTAGTTTAAGTCTTTGGTTCTTTGGTTCTTTTAATTGTGATGATTTTGGCTCACATTTAACAAAAACCCACCAATTCACTATATAAGTACTCATACCCAATGGCAAATTCAATTGAATGGGTATGATTTGGAAAGGCACACACATCTTAATAAAAGGTCTAACAGCTGATAATGCATATCAGAGCAAAAACCAAGCCAAGGTCAAAAGAACTGCCTGTAGAGCTCAGAAACAGGTTGTCTGGGGAAGAGTTCAGAAAAAACTCTGCTTCATTGAAGGGTCATAGAAGCATCTAGTCTCTGGTGTGTGTGTGTGTGTGTGTGTGTGCGTGCGTGCGTGCATGCATGCGCGCGCGCGCAAGCGAGAGAGAGAGAGAGCGAGACACATCACAGCGGAGTCAGCTGTCTTAACCGTGGCTTGTGTGCTGCAAACACATATTTATCAGTGTATCTGTCATGAGACTCTGTTCCCGAGCTGGCCTCCTGGCCAAACTGAGCAATTGATGGAGAAGGGCTTTGGTTAGAGGGGTGAACAAGAAGCTGATGGTCATTATAGTTGAGCTCCATGATCATATGTGGAGACAGGAGAAACCTACAGAAGGACAAACATCACTGCAACACTCCACCGATCTGTGCTTTATGGCGGTGTGGCCAAACTCAATCCTCTCCTCAGTGTAGACACATGAAAACACACTTGGAATTTGAAAAAAGGACCTAAAGGGCTCTCAGACTGTGAGAAACGGTATTATCTGGTCTGATGAACCTCAATTCAAAACATCATGTTTGAAGGAAACCAGGCACTGCTCATCACCTGCAGAGTACCATCCCAAAAGTAAAGTGTGCTGGTAGCAGTCTCATGCTGTGGGGCTGTTTTTCAGCGGCAGGGACTGAGGGACTCATCAGAGTAGAACAAAAGCTCAATGCACCAAAATAGACATAGCCTTAATGAAAACCCAGTCCAAAGCATTCAGAACCTCTGACTGGGCAGAAGGTTCACCTTCCAACAGGACAACGACCCTATGCACACAGCAAGAGTGGCTTATAGACAATTATGTGAATGTCCTTGAGTGGCCCAGCCACAGCCTGGGATTGAACCCAGTCAAATATTTCTGGAGAAATCTGAAAATGGGCATCTGCCCCCATCCAACCTGACAAAGCTTGAGAGGTGAAGAGGCGAGGTGAAGAATGGCAGATAATTGCCAAATGATGATGAGAAAAGCTTGTCGCATCAAACAAAAAAGACTTGAGGCTGTAAAGGTGCTTCAACTAAATATTTAGATACTTATGCAATATACTTATTTCAGTTTTTTTTTTATATATATATATTTACGAAGTTGTGACAATTCTGTTTTTGCTTTGTCAGTATGGTGTATGGAGTGTAGATTGATGTGGAAAAAAGTAATTTAAAGCAGTTTAATATAAGGCAGCAACATAACAAAACGTGAAAAAAATTAAGGGGTATGAATACTTTCGCAAGGCACTGTAGAGATTGATAAACAAAACAATAGATAAAATGATAGAAAGATAGAATGATGCATAAAGCTCAGTTTGAACCTTGACATAGAGATAATTACTGTATATAAAACAATAGACAGAAAGAATGAAAGACAGAACAACAGATGGACAGGAAGACAGAGACAGACAGCCAGCTAGATAGATAGATGGATGGATGGATGGATGGATAGAACAACAGACAGATAAAAAGACAAACAGACAGACTGATCAACAGAACAACAGACAGATAGAATGATGGATAAAGATTCATTTGAACCTGGACATAAACATTGATAGATAAAACAATAGACAGAAAAAACTAAAGATAAAACTATAGATAGACAGAATGAAAGATAGAACGATAGATATAGACAATAACGGACAGATAAAAAGACAGATAGACCGATCAATAGAATGATGTAATTCCAGTTCAAATTCTAATTGAACTTCCTCTAGAATGTGGCCAATTCAAATTAAATTCACACTCGTTAATTTAAAGGAAACCAATTCTTCAGTTCCGATTTTTGCCCAGCCCTGCTAGCTGCTCATCTGTAGCATGGATGAACACACATTTTGATAACATTGGTGGAACCGAACAAAGCATATTCACCACAAAGCCAAAAAAGCTACCTACCTCATTATCTACAATAACACACACTCCCCTCCTACGCACATTCACCCTGGAGGCTGCACACCCCTCCATACATTATTGAACAAAGGCAGGGGTCTTCACAGCAAGAGACTCAGGAGGGAGGTTAAAACCCCCATTTTTGTTTCAGCAGTGCTGAACCTTCAGAGGTTAGAGCCCCAGGTCGGCCAAGGACATGCGTCAGGACGGCCACAGACCTGTGAACTCCTGCTAATGAAGGCAGCTCAAGCTGGTAAACAGCACAGGGTGGATGTCACAAGCATACATTACAATACATCACTGTCTTCCTCAGGCCAGGGGGCTTCCTCTGCCCACCTGGTGCCACACTGACATGTTCAGGCATTACAGTGCTGTAGGAAGAGAGATTTTAAACAGATATTACCGATGCTGAATGCAGAAAGGGTAAGAATTATAGCTAAGGTTAAACATAGTCTTGCACAGCCAACAGCATTAGATCTTTTCCACAAACTTATTCCGACCAAGAACCGGCCACTTAAACAGTCTCCACAAATGGCTGTTGAGAAAACAGCAAAACAATAGCGGAATAGTCTTCTAGTCTGCAGTTTTAGAAATTATTTAAAAAATGAGGATAAGAGAGGGTGTGGAGGAGAGAGAGTTATATAGAGAAAGATACGCTCAGACAGGAATGTGGTTGTTTTCAGGTCAGTGAGCTTGTGAGATGTAAACGTAAGCAAATGAGTGCATGAGAAAAAGAGAATGTGACAATCTGACGAGTATATAGAGTAGCTGGAGAGGAAAAGTGGAGATAGAAATGCAAATGATTTACCTCTAAAGCATACAAACCTAAAACCATGAACTCTGCCAGTGTATCTGTATCTAACACTATCTGATTCAAGATACTGAGAGAAAATACCCAAGAGAAAACACTGACCATCCTAAATATTCATTGGTCAAAGACGAAAAGGGATTTTCAAGCATCAAAACCAAAGTTTAATACAGATTTTTTTTTTCTCCCTGTACATTAAAATGTCCTGATTAATTGTAAAAAAAAACAATCATACATTTTTACAATGATTTACAGAAGACACCCACTAAAATGTCATTTTGTGTAACAACAGTTCATATACCACAAAATCCTGTCAGTCATATTTAGAGCAAGAATCATTAAATGAAAATAAAAGACTAGGATCACAGTGCAGCCCCAAAAGCTAATTAATTTCATAACCTCTCATACCCCACTCCAGCTTGGATGAGTGGATGTGTTTTGACGTGTTTTACCTTTGAAAGGTCTCTGAAGTTTCCGGGAATTGTGAGGTCCAGCTCTTCCAACTCATAGTTTGTGAGGACCCATGGGAAAACAGGATACTGGTTCAGATCATTGAATGTCCTTCCTGAAAGAGTAAAGGTGGTATTTGAAATTACTAGAAGGCTGGTACTGGCAACATAGTGGAAATCCAACAACCAGCAGTGCAGCTGTTGACCCATAATCATTTTGGTCCAGATTATTTTTGCAGGACTCATGACTACTGGTTATTGTGCTTGTCTCCCAGTGAAGGAGTGTGAGCAGAATCCTTACTAGGACATCATAAATTCATAATTTGATAGCATGAATGATGACATGACTGCCTCATTTATATAAAAAAAAGGAAGAAACAAGCGTGCTGCATGTAAAGACAAACATCTTATCCCACTGCACACTGAGATGATAAAAATGACTCAGGTTTTCATAATAACATGTACAGTAATGGAGTTTTCAACTAGATGAACAGGCAGATGTTGGTGTGGTTGTCTGTTACAGAGCCTAATGACTGTATTACAGCAGTGGAGAGTTAGAAAAGGTTTTGTGGTACTACTTTCTTGATTAAAGTTTCCTGAAAGTGAAAATTGTGCGGTGAAGTTGTGGCGTGGGTGTAATTAAAGACATACAAATTCTTCTAGAAGATGACACCGTACCCTTGACACCCCTCCCTGTGGCACAGTCAGGCCTCTCCTCTGATTGGCCAGAGAGTTGTGGTAACCATGGAGACCTATATGAAGTATCCATGACGGAGCATGTATTCGGCAATGCAACAGACGCCAGATGTGGCTTTGTCTTTTTCTCCTTACATTTTTCTCCATCTTTCCTTATCTCGCTCTCTCTCTCTTTCTGCCCTGCGCCTGTTTCCTTGCTGCTAGGAATATGGATTTCAGATGGTAAGAACTGTCAGAGGAGAACATCATAAGAAGAGAGCTATAAAATTGCTCGCCTCTATTCTAAATGCCCAATAATTTCTCTCAGATGTCAAAGTCTTCATTGGGTTTGATATATGTAAGACTCGTCTATCTATCTATCTATCTACCTATCTATCTATCTATCCATAGAGGCATCTCAGTTCAGAAAACTGGCTGAGAATGTGAGCATGTGTGGAGAGTGTGGAGACTTTGATGATCTGGGCTTTGGTTCTGGGTTCTTCAGGCCTGTCATGATGGTTGGAGATGATAGCGTGTGTGGGCTAATTACCAGCCATTAATCTTCCTCTTAAACAGCCACCTCTTAGATAGTACAGATAAAACACTTCCATGATTTATAAAGCCCTCAAGTTGGTTAATACAATATGAGCAGTTTCGTTTTAATGCTGTTAATTAAACAAACATGGCATGAATTATTCAGTTGCTATAATCTACTGATTATTAATAATGCTAGTTTGTGGAAAATGTCAGTTTTTCATTATTAATAATTTATTAACTTATTTCGAATATTTTTTAATTCTATTTCTCATGTTTATTTTTGTGTATATATATATATATATATATATATATATATATACTAAATTGATAAAAAATAAAATTTAAAATAAAATAATAGTTATTTGGTGTTCTGAACAAACACTGACACTAACGAAATCCATCCCAAACCCTGAGCATAATGATTTTGAGATAGGCCGGGTCTAGGATGAGGTAGACTTGATTAACCAGGTTAATGCCACATGGTGAAGTGGGGCCGAGAAGAGGAAAAAGGTTGAGATGAGGGGAGGTTGAGCTGACAGGACCGAGGCCTGGGTGGAAGATGTTAATATCACCGCAATAGTGTTTAATTAGGAGCGGACCGGCTTCACATTAACACCCCTCTCTCTCTCCTGTCGGTGGGCCCATGCTTCCCTGACACCTCTGTCAGCACAGGTCATTACCACTCCTGCCTTTAATGAATTTTACCCCGTTCCAACTCTGCCTTACATCTAATTAGCTGACAATAATGTTTCGAACTCACACTGGAGCTAAATATAAATATGCATGAATATGCAGCGCGAGCAGGGATGACACATTTCAGTGTCAAGAGGAGGTGTGTGTGTGTGTGTGTGTGTGCGAGAGTTCTCACTAGTTCACATCAGAGACTTTGCAACAGAATATTTCAACTCAGAGACACACTAATTATCCCAAAGAGTCCTCGGCTCTCGCTTTTGCGCAACAATGGAGTGTCTGAGTATAAAGAGAAAATATAGCTTCTAAATAAATAATGAGGGGAAAGACAGTAGATTTCAGTCAGAGAATATTTTTGTTTGAAAAGAGAAACTAATAATACCATTAAAAATTAAAAATAAAAATAAAATAAAATAATTTGCTGGCAACCTATATGTCCAACCAAAAGATTCAATGGAAACGTGATTGCAAATAGTCCAAAATGCTTTCATTTAAATAACTGGTTAGCAATGACAAGCAAATAAGATCTGACCTGCAATGGTATTGAGAAACATCAAGTACTCAAAGTTGGAGATCTCCCGTCTTTGCCAGCGCTGAGTCATATTAGAGGACTTGAAGAGCTGACGGGGGGTGGCCAAAGAAATCCGCCTGCAAAAAAAAGCACAAAACTGCACCAATAAGTAGGGCTCAAGTCCAACTCGACATTTGCTTTCATTTACTTTGATTATTGTGGACTTGGCTTGTTCTGCAGATGGATTATAACTCAAAATATGACATTGTAACATTTAGCTTCCAAAAAAAGACAAAAGAGTACACCAGCTCACACACGCAAGGCTGTCACGCTCTTTACTGTGGTGTGTAATGAATGCATCGGTTCCAGCAAAAGAGATTCTTTGCAGATGACCATACTGCGTCTTTTCTCTTGAAGTATATGCAGCACACATGCTAAAAATATGAGAACAACAGAGAATTCTGGTGCAGCGCCTGAATCGGACCTCTCTCAGGGATTCTCATTTACGTGCAGGACTATGTTCTATGTTTCATTGTCTTTTTTTGTTTCATGTTTTTATCTTCTTATGTGTTTTTTTAATAATTATGTGCACCTAACTTTCACTTATTCTGACTAAGAACAAAAGAATCAAGAAAAGTACTTCTTATTAGCTATGATACCAGAAATGCATTCCTGAATTTAACTGACATATTTTCAAAATTATATGCACTCACACTTACCCAGGGTATAGTATATACAGGGTATATACTAAAATGTATGATAAGCCATCATGTCTGCATCATATCTGCTAATTTAACTATTTATTGATGCAATGGACAAACAGTAAATTTTCTAGAGCATCAGATATTTTTGCAGACGTGAGTCGAAGTGATTTACATTTAAATATCTAAATAAATAAAATGTATAATATATTTTTTATATTATTTATGTATTTATAATATATATAACAACAGGCAGAACTAATTAGGTGTTAATAAAAATTAACAAATAAATAATGAAATATCACCATAATACTACTGTGATGCATTTCATAATAATAATAATAATATTATAGTATACTATATACAATTTATGTGTTAGTTTTTATATTGATGGAAAACCAGAGAAAGACAAAGAACAGACTTTGCAATTTGATAACCACGCTAAACCATTGTTTTTAGGCATTGTTAGAAGTTTTTTTTAAAAGCCACTGTTTCATATTTTCATATGCTAATTTATACTTTCATTTAATGCTTGGCGAGTGTTAAATTTAAGCTCTGTTTTTATCTGTCTATCTACTGTACATACATACAGACAGATGACAGACAGACAGACTAGATAGATAGATAAATAAGTACTTAGATATGTATTAGTTAGATATTTTAGTTTGTACTGTACAATGTCTACATGTTACTGCACTTATTATGACTAGCATGGACTTCAGTTGAAACCCCCAAAAGAATATGGGATCATTTGGTAGGTTCAGTCAGAGTCAAACATGCAAAAATGCCCATGCCGCAAGTAACTAGCTCCACCTCAAATTATTCCAAACAGTTGCACAGCAAAGGAGTACATTCAGGATCAATCGTTTCTGACATTTTATGTGGTCATCATGCTAAACTTTTAAACAAAATAAGGATGAAGTAAACATTATTTTGAACAATATTTTGAATGGCAACCACGTGCAGGTGTTCCAGGGAACTAGAAACAGACTTGCCTGGCCTGTGGAAGGCCGTAACTTGTGCCGACGCCAACGCAAGGAAGACTGTGGACCACCTTCTTCACTGTGGGCTGATCGGGGAAGTTAAACATGACGGACGCTGAGGAAGGGAATGACGTCACATGTTAAACAAGGGCCTACAGTACAGGACATCCAAATATGAGTAAACATTTCCACAAACAGCACAAAGACTTCAGAACAGGTAATCATATGCTGCTTAACAATCGTTCAGTCTCACACTATTCTCTTGTGTGATATCTTGATGAAATAACAAATTCTCAGATGAAGAAAAGAGCTGATGACGCTCTAAATCTAAATCTCTATCCATAAAAGATTAGTTATGATTCGTTAATGCATTAAGTATAATGCACTAACTATGAACAATAACTTATCATTTTAATTAATTTCTGAAAAGAAATGTTTTGTACGTTATTGAAAGACAACTTTGGTCACCTAAATCTGCATTTATCCAATTAAAATACAGTAAATACTGTGAATGATTATTACAGTTAAGAATAACTGTTTTCTAATTTTATATATTTTAAAATGTAATTCATTCCAGTGGTGCAGAGCTGAATTTTCAGCAGCCATTACTCCAGTCTTCAGTGTCACACGATCCTTCAAAAATCATTCAAATATGCATATTTTTTTTCTGTTTATTAATGTTGAAACCAGTTATTCTGCTTAATATTTGTGTGGAACCTATATGTTTTATAAAAAACGTATTTATTTGAAATAATAATCTTTTGTAAAATTATAAATGTTTTAGTGTCATTTTTGATCAATTTAATACATCCATGCTGAATAAACGTTTTAATTTTCTTACAAAAAAAAACTGACTCCAAACTTTTTAACTGTAATGTATATTAAGTATGAATTGACATTAAATTAAATATTATATTAACATCAATGTATTATGAACAATCAAAAAATTCACAAACAATAGTGTAATTTTTAAACTAACATCAGCCCAGATTAATAAATGCTGTAAAAAACTGTTAATTATTAGTTCATGATACCTAATAATGCATTAGCTAATCTTAACAAACTGAACCTTATTGTAAAGTGTTACCAGTAAAACCTGGTCATCCATTTTTGAAGCTGGTTCACCAAGCAGGTTTTAAGAAACCTACAGGGTTTTCAGGAAAAAAGGTATAAAATCTGTCACTGGGGTGATATCTTTCAAAAGGTACTATTATGTAGTATTTAGGTATTAATATGTACCTTTAAAGGTCCCCTTAAATGCTTAGAAACACGCAGCGTTACTCTATGTGTTGACGTCATTTCAACTGAAACAGGAAGACAGGGTGGGACATATCAAGCAGCCCCGCCCCTTTTTAAAATAGCCAATAGCGTTCGTTTACATCACAGCTTGGGCTAGAGCCGTTCAGAGCCGTTGAGCTCCGTAAAGCCGTATTTGACAGGGTATGCCAGCCACAATCTCATCCATATTGCTATAAAATATAGCATTCTGTGTAGAATTCAAATAGCTCCGATACATTTTGCGGTCTGCGCCGACTCGCGCATGTGATCCGCTCGTGCTATCGTGTCTCTGGACCGGAGCAGAGTGTGTGTGCAGTGCGGTGGTTAGCGTGACACAGCGCGAAACCAGACTTCTTTTTTTCCTCAATGGAAAGCATATTTACACTGTTTGATCCATTCACTGTACAGAAAATACAAATTCTGTGGACAAGTGACCGATTTCAGCCGCGGCTTCAGCGTCCATTTTATAGTGTAGGGGCGGGCGCTTCGAATTCTAGAGAGCATTTGATTGGACAGAGAGTTTGATGAGAAGCTGAAGTACAATGTGACGTCAAAAAAAACGTTGAGCTGTTTTGGCGGAAGTGACGAACTGCAAGATTTGAATGCTTATATCTTCTAAATGCAAATTTTGTCACTGTTTTGGAGCACACTGCCTTATAGATAACCTTAAGACTAACATATTGATACTAACACCTAAAAAACTTTCATTTTGATTTCATGGGGACTTTTGGGGTTAAATAACATACAAAAGTGTACCCTTGTGAAAATGTACTGCCCAATGACAGCTTTTGTACCTTTTTTCTCAGAGTGCAGGACTCAGATAGAAACTAGAAACTTTTAGTGGCCATTGTTTTTGTATTCATAAAGTGGTAAACACATAGGGCAGTTTTACTTCTGTTGGCCATGAAGATCTCCAGTGCTGTGTTCTGAAGCAGGAAGCGTCTGGTGAACACTGCGCGGATCTCGCTGAACATCCATTTACCGTGAAGCCCCTCAGAGTAGACCAGCACCTACGCACAGGCAAAAGGAAAGAGGTACGTTAACCAAAGTGCAATCCAACAGATTTTCCAGACTGTTTTTCAATACGTTGTCACATGTGTTATGATCGTTGCTCAGGAAACACATTCCGTAGTTGCAGTTTGATTGTCACTCCAATCATCGTGCCATGAAGCCACTTTTTGACGGAGCACTGCGAAACATTCCATTCCCGTCAAAAATGTTGGCTGGTATCCATTGAGTGACGGCAGGCCAGGCTTTGATTATCTCAAAATGGAGGCATCTCTAAAAAGGTGCTGCTTTCTGTTGATGATGCAAAGGCCCGTCTTTCCACCTTTCCTTTTTTGACACATCTTTCTCTGTGGGGCCAACGCTCTCACCGTGCTGTTGGAACACAGTCCCTATGGGGGTAAAGCGGGCGTAAATAATCAGTACTAACATGGGGCCTGGGCAAGAGGGGGATCATTAGTGAGTTTCTCCTCGGAGACCCCCAGGGACCTCAGATGCTGGATCAAGAGCTTCATCCTGACAAGTGAGAACGAGCCAAACTCCATTCCCCACCTACCACTTTGACGGACCAAGAGGTACACATGCACACACACAAACATATGTGTACACACAGACACACTCACACACTTCAAGCCTAAAAAAGAGAATGCCTTGTGGCATATAGATAAGAGCCCATTCCGGGTGGGTACAGAGGTGAGGAAAGGTTTGGGACATTCTGTACAGTAACTGTGAATGGGAATCGGGTAAGGTTAGCACCTAAAGCTTCAACCAACCAGACTGGCCTTGCGTAATTTCTCTCTGGAATAACGTGCAACGCTGACACTGAAGAGCCTCCGGTCACTTGTGGGTCTCTGGGGCTTAATTAAAAATGGATTAGATCAAAATGCTCACCATCCACCACCATAGGTAACCTTACTCCACACAAACCACCAATAACCAATGCTTGATATACATATAGGTTTGCCCCCCACAGACCTAAACTCAAAGAGCTGTTGTGCTGTACATACAGGTTGTATGGTAAACTAGTGGATTGGTATAATTAGAAGTAGATTTGGCAGATTTGCTATTAGAGTTCCAATGATTTCCACATAAGAGAACAAGGGAAAGAACAATAGAAGAACAGTAGCAGAAAAAGAATGCAAGGATATTATTATTCATATAATAATGACAAACAAATAAAAAACAACAATAAAAAAATATTATAATGACAAAAATGTGTATTAATAAACAGCATAATAATAATATAATAACAATAAATAAATAAAAAAAACTAAATTAATGATAATAATTATTATTATTGTTGTTGTGCTTTATTATTAATGTTTTGTGCTTTATTATTATTATTATTATTATTATTATTATTAGGGTTAGTAATTAATAATAATAATAATAACTATTAAGAAGTAGTTGTTGTTGTTTTATATCTGAACAAAATGTGACGGGTGCTTGCAATAAAAGGTACTTGCCCCCAATACAAGAAAAAAAAGAAAAGAAAAAGAAAAAACAGAAACAAAAACAAAACAAATGAATCCTGCTTTTGTTTCAGCGGACATATATTCAAATTTATAAGCATCTACACATGCCCTCGTCTGTCTCTTCCTGTGACAAAGCGCAGGCCAAAGGGTTAGCTGGCAACAAAATATACTGCTGGAGAAAAACCGTCTCAAAATAGGTCACATCAGAAAAAAATTTGTCATAACAACAGAGCTGGCACATCAAACATCAACAAGCCAGTGCCCCTGTAGACACAGAGGTCTTTGACAAAGTGCAGTCGTTATTCTCTCCCGTCTTTTTGTTCTCATCGTGGTGAAAGAGAGAGAGAGAGAGAGAGAGAGAGAGAGAGAGAGAGAGAGAGAGAAGGACAGAGGCCCAGCTGTAAAAAATGGGGCTTAATGAACCTGTCTGGCTGGGCTGTCCGCTGCCTGTCAGAGGTGTCACAATGGTGACGAGTGTCAGGGACGAGCGGCCCCGGGTCCCAGACAGGCCTGCCAGCTGGAGGCTTCTGCCCCAATCTAATCACACCAGCAGAATCCGAGCAGGAACAGGCTCCAGGCTTTTACCTCACTGCTCACGGCCTGTCAGCGCACACACAGGGGCCATACAGTTACCTAGCCCACGGATGCTTACGTCTGTTGTATATGCAGCTGTTAGGGTTGTAAAAGGTTCCTAACAGATGCATATTAACATGTCTATTGCATATTGCAATTTTGCAATAATGCAATTGTTTTGTTGTCAGTGCAGTCTTGAAATTTGGATTCTGTATTTAAACATTGGATCCCTATTGATAATTGGCCCCACATTTTTTCTCGATTTGTTGCCGTTAACAGCTATTATTGAGCATGACATCCAAGCCAAATCTTTTTCACCATCCTTATTCTTCAAAAGACGCCCCGAATTGCCCGCCGAATGGAACGTTATGACGGGGTGAATACATCAAAAAGATCCATCATTTTTAAACCGGACACAATTTTTCACACAGCCCCTTGAGAGATGAGTGCAATCCCTCTGCATGTGAAATGTGTGCTGAGTCTGGCCGGGGATAGAACAGTCAGCATGACTGATATGTTTATAAAGCTGGTCGCCTCTCGCACTGACAACCTGCCATCATAGCACCTCTGCTGGGCTCTCTGCAGATTTGTCTAATAGGCTTCCACTGCTGGGACTGAGTGTGTGTGTGTGTGTGTGTGTGTGTGTGTGTGTGCATGGAATGAGAGAGGGGGAAATGTGTCCAGAAAGTGAGAGCACTTGTCTCATCTCAAGAATGGTGACTACTCCCTATGGTGCGTGAGAGAAAATGTATATATGCGCTAAAGAGGTTCAAAATCCACAGCCTAACAGTCAACTTACCTGCACATAGAAACATTTAAAGGAACAGTGCACCCAAAATGACAATTCTGTCAGTAGCCCCTTTCACACGTACAGTCTTTACTGGTAAATTTCCTTTAAGAGATCATGTGTGAACAGGACCTTTTCAAAAATACCGGTAAATTCATTCTGGCAATTTACAGTTATGAGAAGTTGTAACATTACCAGTAAATTACCGGTAACGTGCTCTGTGTGAACACAGAACGAGATTACCCATATGAGCACGTACGAGTTCAGAACGCACTGACGTAAGATGTCTACTCTGGCCCAATCATAACATTCTGGCGCAGATAACACATTTACTGACATTAAAGAAATGTCTAAAGTCATCTCTACGATGTCTCTGGGCCAAAAGCAGCTACATAAATGTGAACGTTTGACACAAAAATGAAAAGTTTTAATAAAAACACTGACCGCATCTACCCCTCCATGTTTACAAACACAACGCCGGGAGTCACAGCCATATAGAGGTCATTTCTGGTTGATGATGTCAGAGAATTTACCAGTATTTTGAAACTGATGTGTGAATGTGCTTTACCGGTAAAAAGATGGAAAGTCGTTGCCTATGTGAACAGCGTTTTTTTTACCGTTCCGGTAATTTTACGGCAATTTACTGTTATTACTGTGTGAAAGGGGCTACTGTTTACTCACCCAAATGTTGTTCCTACCATGTGAATGTTTTTTTTTCTTCTTCTGTTGAACAAAAGAGGAGACATTTGAAATTTAAAAAAAATTAATAATAATATATATATATATATATATATATATATATATATATATATATATACTGTATATAGATACATGCTACAGCAATTTCAAGATGCAAAAATAAATAAATAAATAAAAGGACCATAAATGTATAGTCCATATGAGTATGTCTGATACTTACGTTAAAAATATCTCAATCTCATTTGCATGAGAACCAATATTTTTTGGCGCAAAAATGCTGGGACATGTCATGGGTGAACTGATGACAATTTTTATTTGTGGGTGGGTTGTTCCTTTAAAGAGATTAAATGGAAATTAAAGAAACCTTTAAAACAATCACTGCCACTCAACAGCAATAATGGACACACTACAAAAAGGCTGAGCGACTTTTGTAGCTTGTAAAAGGCGTTTACTGCATACAGGGTACAGGGTGTCTGCTGTAAGGGGCAGCTGAGTTTGAAAGCAGACATGCTGTGGCGCTGTAGTCATAGAGAGGAAAGACCAGCACAGTATGTGACAGTCTTTACCAAAGGCTCTGTTTTTGAACAGGTGGGGTCTGGACTGTTTACTGCCGGCTGTTGTTGGCTACTGGCTTCACGAGAAATAGCACAGAATGACAAGGTGTGACTACTACAGTCTGTATATATAGTGTATAAATGTGAGTGTGTGTGTGTGTGTGTGTGCCCCCTCTCACCTAACCTTGTCGCTGCCGAATTCATGCTTGCATACTTCTTCCTCAACGCTGCTGCTGCCCTTTCAACCTTAATTTACATCAAGTAAACTAATTTTAGCATTTTTGGTCAACCTGTCCTCCAAAAAATTACTGAATTGTTTGTAATCAAATATACCAAAGCTGTGTAATTCACAGGATGTGTGAAATAATTTTGTTCATTTGAAAAGCCTGTACAGGAAATATTAAGCAGCACAACTGTTCTTAACATTGATAATAATAAGACATGTGTTTGAGCAACAAATCAGCATATTAGAATGATTTCTGAAGGATCACGTGACACTGAAAACGGGAATAATGGCTGCTGAAAGTTCACCTTTGCCATCACAGAAATAAATTACATTTTAAAACATATAAAAATAGCAAGCAGAAATTTTTAATTGTAATAATATTAAACACAATTATTGTTTTTCTGTACTATTTGATCAAATATTGCCTTGGTATAATTTGGCATTTCACTTAAAAATTGCTGAATACACTTTGAAGTCAGGCAACTGGAACCTAGCTGAGCATAATTTAATATAATTGAATGCACAATGGATGGTTAAAAAATGTATAAAGGGGGGGGGGGAGACTGAGCTCTATCAAAACCACATTAATAAACTACAAAACTAAAGCATGATTGGTGAAATTCATCTATCTATATCTCAAACTGTTTACCAGAAGTTTCTGTAGATGCTTTTAAAAGATGAAAAACACTCA